AGTCTGAATATCGTCAGTATTTCACGTCGAGTCATTAGTTCAAGTCGAGTCAGAGGCAGTCCGAAACAGAGTCGCGTTCAGACAATTATTGCAAGACATTGGACTAGTGATACTGGTCGAGACTACATTGTTCTCTCTACTAAACCTGATTGTTCATACTAACACTTTCTACTTCTCTGTATATATTCCTGTTTGTAATATATCTGTGTTATTCCATACCTGTGTTCGAGTTCTTTATTGGTTCTACCTTGGACTATCACCGTGGTACATGGAACCGGACCATAACAAGTATAAAATAAAGTTCAGGCGTGTTTTTAATAATAATAGATATGGTTAGGAAATTGATCTGTAAATAAGGTTTATTTCCTATAATTCAATGAAAGTTTGGGACTATGCACATCTTGTTTGTTCGAAAAAACAATGAAAATAAGGATTTCCCAATTCTTTGATCATTGAATATTTTATTGCAATTTTCACCGATTATAAGGACATAAAGCCACTAAGAAACAAAGGGTTTACTGAGTGTTAATGAATACAAGAAAGAAAAAACAATGTTACGGAGAGAGAAAGAGAGAACAATAAACGAATATAGAAAACATTGATCTTCAAGATGTTTAGATGCAGAGTTGACTATGAAGCAAGAAGCTGGAAGCAACAGAAAGAACTGTTAGCATAGAACTTATTACAGATATAAATAATGACAGAGAGCGAAAATGGGAAACACACACACGCATATATATATATATATATATAATATATATATATATATATATATATATATTTTTATATTTTTTTAGTGAAATTGGATTAGATTTGAATAGCGAAATTAAATCAGCATTTTGCTTACTGATGGGGAAATCTGATAAATTCTTTTAGAAGTTAACATACCATTGAATCACTTCATCAGAAGACAATGGAAATGGTCAAAATAATTTTTATCGATTAAAATTGAAAATAAGCTGAAGGAAGTTTGCTCTGTTGAACTTTGAATTCCCATGATTTTGCGTTCTAAACTGCCTTAACGTGATAATTATCTATCTAACCAATTTTGAACAAACGAATAACCTATAATATTTAGGAATATAAATTTTAAGCCCTTAAATTTTTGAAAAACTATTACCAGTCTGAATAACAAATAATAGAGAATGCTTATCTAATCCAGAGTGTTTAAAGGAGGAACCTAAGGCTATTACTTTAAACCAACACAGAAACTTTATAAAAATGAATTAAGATATTCATATATCGTTCTGAGACGATTATCAACAAGATAATCAAAAAAACATTTTTAAAATATTATTCAGGTATGAGACCTTAAATTTGAAACTTTTATCAAAATTTAATGTTGTAACCTGATTTTCTTTCCTCACTAAATATTGTTTTTCTTTTGCTATATAAAAATAAAACAATATTAAATTCAAAATTTTTGTTTTCAATTTAGGTCTTTTTGTCCACGGAAAATGGGAACAGATATTAAAATAAATTTTTGCATTCTAAATTTTTAGCGCAGACTTAAAATATGTCTACATCTTCAGTCGACGGTGAATGGATGGACATCACTTCTGAATTTCTGGATCAAACAAATCACAACGTTTTTTAAGAAAAAGGAATTAAACCAAAAGATGGTCGAATCATCTACGGATGCTCAGGGACCTATGGCCAAAACCTGAATCCAGGGGACTGATAGAAACCTCAACCCCCGATAGTAAGACGCCGGAGGTTGAGGTCTTTCCACGATTCGAAAACCTTTAAAATTACTACTCATTTCAACTTGATTGACAAAATTTAGTACTGTGCTTAAATTCTGCGCTGTAAGTGTAAAGTAATAATTTACCGACTTTTTTACGAGGTAGGATGTGACACAAGGCCGAATTTCATGTGAAAAATTCTGAGCGCGTGTCTTCCAATTTATGTTTTTTGGGTTAATTCGCCCCGCATAAACGGGGTCGGGTCAGCGCCCGTGTCGCTTGTGAACGAAGCCCCGGAACCACACCCCGAAATGCAGCTTTTTCGGCATAGCCTCGTCCGGGTTCCCCTGCCCGAAGGCGGAGAGTTCGACAACAGCCAAGGGCTTAGCACGTAGCCAGCTCCAGCTGCCTACCTACCTGATCTTCAGATAGCCAATAGTGTAAAGTTAATCAAAACAATTACCATGAAAATATTTATAGAAAAGGCACAGGGAAGCTACGTTATGGCAACGAGAAAATGACTGTAGACGAGATGCTAGGTCAGGACTATTAATATTGCAGATTCTTTGTATTTTATAAAGAATCTCTAAATGTATAGAAGGAGCACCAGACCAGATGTGTTAGCAATATTCAATTCATGGACGAATGGTAGACTTATAAATATGAAAGACAGATTGTGGCGAGAAAGATTGTCTAGCACCACACGGTGAACCAACTTTCCTAGCATCAGACCTAGCATTTGATTCAATATAAATCTTTCCACCTCATGTCAGCGGAATGGCGCAATGAGTCTTATCTCAAAGACCCGGACAAAAACAATATTGAATATGCTTATAGTCTAAAATACTCGTCGAATATTAAAAACCAATTTTCAAAATCTCTTATGTAAGTAACTGGGAAGATGAATATAGTTACGAGCATTCATTAAATTTTAACAACTCATCTGAAAGTCTCTCACAAAAGCAATAATAAATATGTGGATAGTTTTAAAAACGCCATGGGTAAATTGTGGTCCGTTCTCTCAATCTGAATAGTCCGCTTAATTTTATAAGGAAAATAACGTTTTTTGACATTTTCCTTTTAGTTCTCACTTGTTCACTCACACACTCTCTCATACATAACCACATACATAAACAATGATTAAGTATCTTATATTTTCATTTTGTCATACGATTTTTGAAGATTTTCTTGAAGTTAATTTTAAGGGTCAAATCAGGCACGAGATATAAAATTAGTATAGATTTTTTAAAGCATTTTTATATCTCGTGTATGAGGCGACCCCTTAAAAATTAGCTTAAATATTAGGTGTTCAAAAGTCGCATGATACGCAATTATATATGGAATAATGTTTCTTGAATTTTGTAAACTTTCGGTCAACGCAACGTTTTCATCATTTTAAACCATTAACGTGTAAACATGTTTAAACATTTTAAACCATATACGTGTAAACATGTTTTGCTTTTGAAACAGGTAACATCCATAATAATGTTTTCTCTAAAGAAGAAATGTTTTTATGCCATAAAACAAAACCAACTAACCAAATTATTTCTAATTTAGTCATATCAACCTCAGTGGGTCATTTAATGCCAACAAAATTTTTGAAATAGATTCATAGCGATAGTTTGATATAAAAAAAAAAAAAGTGTGTATGTATACATATATATCTGAACCATTTTTCAATTAATCATATTTTTAATTACAATCCAACTTCTTTTAGAAAATTTAAAATCTTGGATGGTTTTATTTTCGAAAAGTTTTTTTTAAATTACTCATTTGTTAATATTTTCTTCGCACAAGATCAAAACTCGAACAGTATTTGTTTTACTGTAAATTTTAATTATTGCTGGTAATAATTTTTTATTACAAAGTATTTCTGGTATTAAAACCTATTTTTACACAATTTTGGGTGTTAACTATTTGCCCATAGCTGGGACCCTAACAGATGGTACCAACCCCTGGTCTTTTTATTTACTACTGTTCATCCATTACAAGACCCAAGAAGCACTCAAGATAGAGTGTTACTGTGTGATGTTGTATGAGTGTAAGAATGGGCAAGAAGTAAAGTTTGTGGGCTTATGTAGGAAAGATAAATTAACCCTAGACTTGAAGAGATTAAAATTGTAGTGGTTGTGTTTTGACTTCGTTTGGTTTGTTTTACGGCATATCAATCTCAATAGGTTATTTAATGCCAACAAAATTTTTATTTTTGGTAATATTTTTTCTTCAGAAATTTATAGCTGGTAATATCTTTTTTTTTTCAAAAATGTATTGGTGGTAATAATTTTTTTTTACAAGATGTTTCTGGCATTAAAACCAATTTTTACACTTATATAGTGTTTTGACAGTTTGGGGGCTAACTATTTGCCCATAGCTGGGACCCTAACAGGTGCTACCACCCTGGGCCAGGGTGGACTTGGGAACACCAGCAATTAAGAGGTGGTTCCACGCTCCTGAAAACCTCCTGATCAGAGGCCCTGCTGCTGGACGTAGTTTATCGTCTTACCCAGGATGGAATTAGAAATAAATCACACCCGGTGATATGTGTTAATCACACGAACCTCAGTTTTAATATTATACCAGGACTTCAATTTATTTTAATTATAGAAAAATCATTAATCCACAAAAAAAAACAACTTTTTCCCCCCGTTTGTAACGTATATGCTTAGGCATATGGTCTTTTGTCGTGCGAATAGCCGAGATACTACGATGAAAAATTATCTTGAATCTTTTTAGTCGTGAAGAGATATGGGCTACAAATCATTAATAGGTCAAGACAGATGAACCAAACGAGATAGCTATGAAGAAATCGAATCACCTTGATCCTTGGATTGACTGATATAATAGGTCCCTAAGTATCAGTTTAAACTAATGCTTTTTTTTCTATGCATTGTATCTATTTTACTTAGAAATTCAGATTTCCTGGACCCCCAGACAAAAAAAAAAAAAATTTCAACTCAGTTCTATTGTAATAATTTCTTTTCTTGCACTTCCTGCCTGTGGAACTCCCTTCCGATTCTTTGCTTTCACGATAACGACAATCCAAAAGAAAATTTTCCCTCATTTCTAACTCATTGATTTATTTTCTACGGATTAACAACCCCGCTTTTTTTTTTCAGATTCTAAAGTTATTTTTAGAGATAACAACGAATTATTGATACAAGTCTTACTAATTAACCCATAGCTGGAGACAGAATTGGTGGATTCATATTTTTCTCAAGGGTATCTACGTGTAACGAACCCAACGGAAATTGGAACTCGGCTCTCCGATTAACAATTCCGAGCCATTATCCATTACACCACCCGCACATCCAAGTTTACCATACCTGGTATTCCCAAGAGGTCACCCATCTAGGTACTGACCAGACTCGACGTTGCTTAACTACGGTGATCATCCAGAAATTGGTGTGATGTAAGCCCAAATTTTTAAGGTATATGCTTACGCATATGCTCTTCTATAGTGAAAAAAGCTGAGGTACGTACTACGAAAAATTGCCTTGGATCTTTTTAGCAGTGCGGTTTGAATTGTGATGAGCCTCAGATCATGAGGCCCACTGCTCGAAAAAGGGTTGCCCATGTCTGGTTTCTTAAAATTTTATTTTGTTTCATTCTCACTTGTTCACTCACACATTCTCTCATACAGATCCCCACATACATAAACAATGATTAAGTACAATGTTTCTTGAATTTTGTAAAAAGATTTTGGGAAAGTAACGTTGTCAGCATTTTAAACCATTGGCGATTTTCACTAAGGAAGCTCATACGTGTAAACACCTTTTGTTTTTGAAACAGAAAACGTTCATAAGAATGTGTTCTTTTCTTTTCTCGAAAGAAGAAATGTTTTCATTTTCAAATGAATTAGAAATAAATCACACGCAACGCCATGTTATAATTTCAATTCCACCATCATCAGTGAAAATATACCAAGACTTCATAAAAATCTTTTCTAAAAAATAATTTTCTTACCATTTCTAAGGTATATGCTTACGTGTATGGTTTTCTGTAGTGAAAATAGCTGAGGTAGATACTAAGAAAAATTAAACTTGAATCTTTTTAATAATATGGCCTGCCTTATGATGAACAGATGAGCCATAGATCATGTGGCCTACTTCTCGAAAAATGTCATCCATGCCTGTTGTAGACAGTCTAACTAAAAGTTACTGAAAAGTAGCCATATTCTTTCGGCGAGGTGTGTATTTGGGATGCAATCCCTTTTTAATACACGTTTTGTTAAACAAAACTGACAACGTACTTTTGTCAAGGTTTTTATATTGTTCTTGCATTAAAACAAATGTTTTCTTTTCTGAACTAAATAAATATAGAAATTGTCCAAATGTTTGTTGATGCTGAGCCCTATTAGCCATTTTCAAGGATTTTTAGTTATAATTACGATAACTGTTATTGTAGGCCAGTCATGGATCACATTCGGCCCTTTGGGGCTTTCTGAAAGGCATGTTTAATTTAATAAAAAATTCTTAAAATTTGATTTTGTTTCGTTCTCACTTATTCTCTCACACACTCTCTCATGCAGATAACTACATACATAAACAATGATTAAGTGCAATGTTTCTTGAATTTTGTAAACTTTCGAGGAACTAACTGTTGTGGGGTCCACCCCTTTTTCATTACAAGTGGACTCGACCAGTGTATACTTGGACTGCTGCCGTTAAATACCCAGTCAGTCAGAGTAGTCAGAGAGAAGAACAGAGATTGTGATTGAGTTGGAGGTAGAGTAATAGTGTGAGGTAACCGCTTGTAGAAGTCACAGTTGCGAGCACGTAGACTCCCAGGAAGTCCTACGTCGAGACTGAATTTACCAGACAAACCACACACACATATATATATATATATATATATATATATATATATATATATATATATATATATATATTATTGCTACTAACCGCATTTCTGGATCTACTAACCGCATTACCAATTGTATTATTGTGTAAATACATTTATTTGTTATATTTCATTCCTGCGTTTGTCATTCATTGGAGACCAGATTTCATCTCGGAATCCACAACACTAACATTGTCAGTATTTTAAACCATTGTCAATTTTCACTAAGGGAGATCATACATATAAACTTTTTTGCTTTTTAACCAGGTTTCCGTGGGGCTCTAAAGAAGTTGTTCATAAGATTTTTTTTTCTCTAAAAGAGAATTGCTTTTATTTTCAAATGAATAAATTAGAAATAAACCCAACGCAGCTATATGTGATAATCACACTATCATCAGTAATAACATTATACAGAGAAACCCGGATATAAGAGAAACCCGGATATAAGAGAAACCCGGATATAAGAGAGATTTTCTCTGGTCCCAAATTAGAGCCTGTGTTAATGTATATATAATAGACCAAACCCGGATATAAGAGACTTCTTCTCTGGTCCCGACAACTCTCTTATATCCGGGTTACACTGTACTAAGACTTCATTTTTTTTTAATTATAAAAAAGGTATTTTGTAAAAAAATAAATCTTTTCTACCATTTCTAAGGTATATGCTTACGCATATGGTTTTCTGTAGTGAAAATAGCTAAGATACCTACTACGAATTATTATTTTGAATATTTTTAGTAGAGTGGTCCGCCTTGTGATGAGCCACAGATCATGCGGTCCACTGCTTGAAAAAGGGTTGCCCCATGTTTGGTTTAAAATATTCGTTGAATATTAAAAATTAATCTCAAAATCTGACGAAAGAAAACAAATAGGCAGATCGTGAAATACAGTAATTGAATATTAACAATAATTCACTATTTACATTGTTCGGACTATTGTCCTCATCTTTGTTGCCATATTTATTACAACGTTTCGGCCCTTCAGTATCTGTCTATATTTATGAGATGAGGTATTATATATATTTATTTACATTATTCGGACTACTGTCCTCATCTTTGTTGCCATATTTATCAACGTTTCGGCAGTTGTACACTCCGGCCTTCTTCAGGTGGTTGGAATGTCGAACTGAACCCTTTATTTCGCTCGCTGGGGTAGACTGTTCTAGTTCCACGTGCCATGTCTAATGGATGTCAGTTATCAGTTATCTCCTGTTAATTCCCCTCTCCAAGTCCTCCAACGCCTTTATAATTTAACTGGATTTAACTAACGCCTTTATCCACTATGCCATGTCTTCTTGAGGACATCTGTGTATGAATTTCTGGGACTTCAGAATACTAATGTCTTCAGCAACTATTTCAATTCGACATTCCAACCACCTGAAGAAGGCCGATGCGTTGTGATAAATATGGAAAAAAGAAGATGAGGACGATAGTTCGAACAATGTAAATAGTGTACATCACAGAAATATAGACAGATACTGAAGGGCCGAAACGTTGTAATAAATATGGCAACAAAGACGTGGACAATAGTCCAAATAATGTAAATAATGTACATAATACCTCATCTCAAAAATATAGACAGATAACAATAATTCTTCTGAAAGTTTCCGACAATAACAATGAAAATGAGGAGAGTACAAAACATTCAAAGAATGTTAGTGGTCAGCACCAGCTCGCATTCGATCATCGGGATCGTCACCCTCTCTCATTCTTTCTCTCCTCTGGTGGAAGAGATAGCTGTGAAGGCCAAGCCTGCATCTGAAGTATAATCAAAAAGAGTTTGACGAGGCCATTCGCGTCAATTCGATTTTGGTGGACAATTCTGCGCGACGGAGAAGCCCACACACTTGGCCAGAAGCGCCTTCCCCCACAGCTCAAAGAAGATCTGGAAAAACCTGGTTACATCGGGCCATCGGATACTTGCTCTGTCAAGGTCAGCCTTGGTTTCATCAGCCCGACTGGCGCAGCCAACTGGCGCAGCCCGATTGACGTAGCCCTCTTCCACCGGTTTGGCCATTTAGATCATGTAGATCTTTGCCTATTCCGCCATTAAGGTCTTCGGGGGGTGTTGGTAGCGTTCATTCTGGTCTCTCCTCCACGACCTTACCACCATGGGTGGCCCTACAGGAATTGGAACTCCAAGCAAGCAAAACAAAACAAAGTTACGACTAAAATATCACGGAAACTTATTGTTGTTGGCACCAGCTCACATCAGGATCGTCATCCTCTCCCCCTATTCCCTTTATCTCCCCTGGCGGCGATGGCAGAGAGGGCTGTGAATAAAAGAGAGATTTGACGAGGCCATTCGCGGGAATTTGATTTGTATGGACAACTCTGCGCGACGCAGAAGCCTACACACTTAGTCAAAAGTTTCCCGAAAGTATATGGTTATCTTCTTTTTGCCACATCCTATCAAGACAAACGATGACGTCTCTCCACAGCTTCCTATCCTTTGTGGCCCTTAGCAGTTTTTCCTCCCTTTGCTACTTGATAGGCTCCAGAGGCGGATATGCAATATGATTGGCCCTGATCTAGCATCTCGTCTACAGTCACTTTCTCACAGACGCGCCGTCGCCTCCCTCTGTCTGTTTTACAAATACTTTCATGGCAATTGCTCCGAGGAGCTACATTCGCTGGTTCCCAGACTTTATGAATTCAAGCGCCCTACGAGGCTGGCATCCCGCTCTCACCCCTTCACTGTCGAAACTCCTAAATGTAGCCGTCTCTTCTACTCCAATAGCTTCATGTCTCGCACCTCTCGCCTGTGGAACTCCCTTCCCTATTCCAGTTTCCCTGAGAGCTATAATCTCCAGCTATTCAAATGTAATGTCAATCGACATCTCCAGTTGCCTTGATCTATCCACTACCCTTCCTCTATCTCTCCTGCTCTGGGAGGGTTAAGGTTTCTAAGACCCCCTTCTTCATGCAGAAATTTCAGCTGCCTCTTCCCGATTCTGAATATACGTGTTATTTCTGTTACCATTTTAAGACATTCTTGTTGCTTACTCGCTATATCCTTGGAAGTGCCAGTATTCTTGCGTAGAAGCACATTCTTGCTGCTGCACAATCTTCCCATGGATGAGGGGGTTGTTCAGTATTCACTACCAAATAAAACGATGGATAACACTTTGCAATCTAGTATTCTTTGTTTCTAAGGAAATTTTTCCATCTCTCAGTATCTTGCTCAGCTTTTGAAATTCTTTTTTCGCTAGTAATGTGTCTTCGGATCTCGGTGCCACAATTGTCTTTTTCAACTCTGACACATCCAAGCTTACAGCACCTGGTATTCTCAAGCAGTCTAAGTACTGATCAGGTTCAACATTGCTTAACTGCTGATCTAATGAGAACCGATGTTGAAACGTGATATGGCCATAAGCCAACAATCATGGAAACTTCCATATTGTTTTCGTCATCCTATCCCCTTTCTCTCCCCTGGTGGCGGAGATGGCTGTGAATCAAAGAGAGATTTGACGAGGCCGTTCGTGGGAATTTGATTTGGGTGGACAACTCTGCGAGACCGAGAAACCCGTTCACTTGGCCAGAAGCGCCTCCC